TGATGTAGTGTTCCATGATTCATTGTTTGTGTGTAACACCCAGTGTTCCATTCAGTACGTGCCCTCCTTAATAGCCATCACCATGCTAACCGGTCCCCCCACCCCCCTCCCCTCTAGAACCCTCACTTTGTTTTTCAGAGTCCAAATATATATCTTTTAATCATGAGTTCCCATTGATACTCTTTTTCCAATCCAGTATTTGTATCTCACTTCAATAATTTTCTCTTGTAACATCTTACCTAAAAGACATGATCCTTCATGATCTATCTCCTGACTACTTCTGCAGCCTTGTAGGCACGATCTTTTGTGTCTTATGTATCTGACACACTGAACTACTTGAATTTAATGTCTTTTTTTAGATCTAGGAAAGTCTCAACTTCAGATATTGATTTCTTGATCTTCAGATTCTTGATTTCTTCAGATATCACCTTCCCTCTATTTTCTCTATTCTCTCCTTTTTGGACTCTTATTAGACTGATGTTGAAACTTTTGGATCTCTCCTTTGTTTCTCCTATTTTTCTTTTATATTTCCTAACCTTTATTTCTCTGTGCTGTGTTATAGGAGAATTCTTTGGTCTTTTTCCCGAACTCACAAATTACTTCTGTAGGGTCTATCCTGCTCTTTTGCATTATTACATTTTTAAAAATGTTCACAGCTTTTCATATCCAAGATCTCGAATTGGTTGTTTTTCATAATTTCTTCTACCTGTTTTAAGAATGTAAATACTTTAAGAAGAAAACCTCTCTCAGTTAATTATACTTATGTTAAGATTCTGTTTTGATTGGTCTACTGAGTTGTTTTAAGGAGGACAATCTAAATCTTTTCATTTGATGAGATTTTATTTCATAGTATGGAGGCTTCTTAAATGTTGGATAATTCTTAATTTGCCTAGTTTTGCAGTTTAGATTCTCTGTTGGATTAACGCCTTTCTCCTCCTCTGCCCAACTGCTCTCTGAGGTTGGGGTGGGAGTGAGAGCTCATATGAGATTTGCAGGCCTCGCTGCTACCAGTGGGGTGTCCAGCTGATCTCCACTCAGTTGTCCATGGGCCTCCTTGTTGCTCCTCCATGATTGAGCAGTGAGTATTCTTGATGTTGCCCAGTGTGTGACTTCCCACCTGTCCTCTGAGCTTCAGCTTCCCTCTTTGGTCCTTTGGTATGTGCCTTCAGCCATTAGGCACTCCTCCTTTCTGGGCTGATGAGTTTTTCTCCTCTTAATTTTTGAGTGTTTCTATATATGCACACTTCCCTTCCTCCTTCTCCCACGCCTCCCTTTCTTCCTTCCCTCCATTTCTCTCTCCTTTCTCCTTCCCTCTCTCTCCCCTCTTTGTTTAATCGTTTCTGTGATTTGACAGGGAGAGGAGTTGTGGGCTTAGCTTGCCATTTTGTAACTGGAAGCTAATGTGTTGTTGTTTTTTTCTTACATCCAGATCTCTGCATATGCTATACCCTCTAATGGGAGTGCTCCTCTGCACAACTCCTGTCATATCTACACGGCCAATTCATACTTATCCAGTAAATCACTACCTCTTCTGTGAAGCCTTCCATAATCCCCAGGCAGAGTCAGTTTCTTCCCTTCTGTTCCCATGGTGATTTTGCATACTTTATTTTAGTGTTTATTATATGTATTATATTATAATTTGCAGTCACGTCTATGTTGGCTCAGTTGACTATGAGCTTTTATCTGTGTATATTTCTTGTTTGATATATGGTAGGTACTCAATAAACATTTGTTCAGTTAGTGGATGAATGGTTTTAAACAAGATGAAATTAATTTCACATATAGATGTGATTGCAAAGTAATTACCAAACTAAATCTGATATTCAACCCGAAGATTTTTATTGCTTCCCTCCCCCAGTCCCTTGCAATACATGAAGCTGTGCTGTGTGTTCTCCTGATAATTCCTCTCTTGAGCTCTTTTTAGAATTAGTTCAGCAAACACAGTCTCATCATTTTCCTTTGTTACACATGTTTTGACAAGCTTGACTTGTATGTCTTCTTCATCACATTTGGCTTTGAACAAATTTTTGGCTTTTACTAAATATTGAACCTGTCTTTAAAAGAGAATTTTTTTTTTTTTCTGAACATGCCTAGGGGTATTCATAGCCTTAAGCTCCCCAAAATGGGCGACGTGTCTTCTTTTGTTTTTGAAGTTCTGATAGAGTTGAGTACATTGCTAGGCTAGAATTCTTAAAAAGATTTCTAAAACTTTCAAGCACTTGGCAACATTGTAAGAATCACCCTACAGATTCTGAAAACCCCTGCTTTGAAAGAGATGCCATTCATTTGAATTCCAGAGTTACAATGTGTTTGCTTAAAAAAAAAAAAATAGACACTTGTGATAACACCTTAAAAGATGTCACGTAAGAGAAGGAACAAAGACTACAGTGTTAACTGGAAGTGTAACACTGATGTCCAGAGTCCCTGTGACCCTGAGGTAGGCTCACAGGAGTGATCTCCTGAAGAAGGCACCGCAATTTAAAATTATTTTGGGTCCTCTTATGGTTCCTGCTGAAATGCATAATGTAGGTTTATTTATTCTATAAATGTTTTGTTGGTTTTCGTGCTATACCCACCACATAATGACGAGACGTTTTTTTCCTTTTGGGTGCATGTGAACAAAAACCAATGTCTTCTGTGCTACAGAGGAGATAGGAAGACTAGATGTGAAGAGGAATTTTCTAGGCGTGTATGTCAGTAAAGGGCCATGGCTATACACAGCGGAAAACCCTGCTCAGCTGGGTTAAACCTGAAATTAGCTGGATTTTCCTTCAAATCAAGATTATTTGTTAAAAATTATTTTACATTATGTTCACTTAATTTTTCACTTGAAACACGTTGCTTTATTTTTGTTTAGAAATACAGTTTAATAAGATGGGCTGCCTACTCACCCCATTCCATTAACATAAGGAGAGCTTTGTAGACATAAGAAGGCCTCTGTCTTCAGAAAATCAAAGGCACTGTTTATGAATCTTTGTAAAGAATGTGAAATACCAATGTGTTATTTTTCAAGATAGGCTAAATTCTGTATAAAAACTTTATGTGTTCCAAACCCAAGATGATCCTGGAAGAAGTAAAGCAAAAACTCAGAATTCAGGGCTTAATTTTGAGAACCCATGCTTAACTTTTAAATCACTGTGTCTTTACTCAAACTAAATTTTTATCTTATCTTTTGATATCACTTTGCTTATCAGATAGAGCAAGTAACAGTGTTATCATTGTTTTTCTATCTCTGACACACAAAGAGACTTGGACAAGTCACTTATCTTCCCTGAGCCCCAGTTTCCTCCTCTGCAAAAGGAGGATGTAAATTCCTGGTTTCTGAGCTCTAAAATGCTTTCAATGAAGCTAAAATTATCTACATAGTTATATACGTAGCACTCACATACACTAGATATCCTTTGTGTACATATATATGGTTCACCTATATGCAGTTCACTGGTAAGGACGTTGTTGTGTAGGCTGTGGGAAGTTGCCCAAATGTCCTTTTTTTAAACTTTTTTTTTTTTTTTTAAGATTTTTATTTGTTTATTTTAGAGAGAGAGAGCAAGCGGGGGGGGGGGAAGTAGAGAGGGACGGAGAGGAAGGGGGCAAGAATCTCAAGCAGACTGCATGCTGAGTGCAGAGCCCCACGTGGGGCTTGATCTCACGACCCTGAGATCATGACCGGAGCCGAAATCAAGTCAGATGCTTAACCGACTGAGCCATGCAGGTGCCCCCCACATGCCCTTTGGGGCCACTGTACTTACTCCCTCAGTTACCAGACTGTTGGCTGCTGATGGCGCACAGCTGAGTCCCTTCCCGGGTGTTACCTTGTGCTGATAGAAGCTGCTTGCTCAAGGTTCTGCCCCCTCCATGGCAGCCCTCATCTAGTCACTGATTATCGTGATTGATTTAGGGACACAAAGGCCCAGCTGCCTTCCCCCAAATTGGGAACCATTCCAAAGGGCCATCTAAGCTCCAGCCCCCTCCAGTAGGATCTGCTGAGATCTTTGTTCTAGCTATATTGCAGTTTGAATTTTTTCTCTGCCCAGTCCCACTTCCCTCACCCCTGAGTACATTTGTTCCCAAGATCATTCCCCCAATAAACCTCCTGCACACCAGTCTCCATCTTAGAGTCTGCTTCCCAGGGAAACTAATCTATAACAACATGCATTTCTAGAAATGGATTTATCCCTCTTTGATTTGGCTGCCATTTAAACAATGATATATCTAATGTCATGAAACAAAACAAACCTTGCTGATGACATTTTTAGCTTTATTAAGGAGTGTCCTAATAGATATGTGGATCTACCACCTGCCCAGCCATACATCTGTACGTGGTACAACCATGACACGATAGTTCACATTTTGAAAATACTTTTTATTCCTTTATAAAAAATTTTTTAATCTTGAAGAGAAAGATAAGTGATTGAATTTGGTTTCTGCAGTTGAATACTTTAGAGTCTAATAATTGAAATGTTTGGATTAATAAGAATGTACTTTATGTGAAATCTACAAAATTTTGCAGCCTTGAGGATTCAGATCTAGTCAACTCGGTGAATATATTTCAAGTTTATTACCAAAAAAAGAAAAAAAGAAAGAAAAAAGAGCTAACCCAACCCACTGTTTTCCATGGTTTCTATGGGCAATTAAGTTGTTAATTTGTATTGATACTCAGGATGTCAGGGTTGTATAAAGGGAAACATGTCCTCCATTATAGCTGATTGCTTTAATTACTATAAAAGCCTTGGTGATATATATTCACTTATTTTAAAGTTTTTCTGTTTTCTAAAATACTGTTTATTCTAATTGCACACAAAGCTTGTTTACTTTAGGGACCTTTCTATAACACTGATGCTTTTTATTCAAAGCCTGGTGGATCATGGACGTACCACCTGCCCCTGAACTATGGTTCTGGTATGAGCTGTTAATTTGTTGTTCAGTGTTTGGGTTGCCTGTGTAAATTTCTTTTCCTGTTTAATTTCAAGGCTCTTTGTTACTCATACTTCTTTTCTCAGAAGAATTACCTTGTACATGCCCGCTGTGTACCTCAGACAGAGGGAGCTGTGTCAGTACGACCGAAGGGATCCAACTCGCTAAAGAACTGGGAGCTACCTATCTTGAACTACACAGCCTTGATGACTTCTACATAGGAAAATATTTTGGAGGAGTGGTAAGTGGTAATCCCTGTTACATAAAGTCAAGTCATTTGTCAGGTTCGCTCTGTAGCTATTTTCTAGAACCTCAGTTAGAACTTTAGTTTTAAAAGCATGATTGGTTTTAACTTTGAGAAACAAACTGAGAGTAGAGTCAGGTTTTGTCAGAGTAAAATCATAATTTTATTTTTCTCTTCAAATGAAGCATTTTCTATTGTCTAATGGGATATTTTGGAATTTTCCATTTGGTGACACTGTTGTTTTTTATTGTACATTCCAAAAGCGTATTTACTTACACAAACCTGTGATGTCAGTTTTATTCGTAATCTTTATATTGTTCAGTGAGCCTTGCAACCTGAACCATTGGGCCCTGAAAGTTCTCCTTCATTCCTATCTACTACTTGAAAAGAAAGATTTTTCTTCCCCTATGTGTACTTCGGCAAGATTTTGTATACTCCTAAATGATTCAGCTCAAAAATATCCATAGAAACTGCTTATACAAATAGCTTGTTGGGGCGCCTGGATGGTGCAGTCAGTTAAGTATCAGACTATTGATTTCTGCTCGGGTTATGATCTCAGGGTCATGAGATCAAGCCCTCAGAGTCCACGCCCGCTGAGGAGTCTGCTTCTGTCCTCTCCCTCTCCCTCTGCCCCTTTCCCTGCTTGCGTTCACATGCTCTCTCTGTCTCTCAAATAAATAAATCTTAAAAAAAATACATTTGGGGGCGCCTGGGTGGCTCAGTTGGTTAAGCGACTGCCTTCGGCTCAGGTCATGATCCTGGAGTCCTGGGATCGAGTCCCGCATCGGGCTCCCTGCTCGGCAGGGAGTCTGCCTCTCTCTCTGACCCTCCCCCCTCTCATGCTCTCTATCTCATTCTCTCTCTCAAATAAATAAATAAAATCTTTAAAAAAAAATTAAAAAAAATACATTTGGGATTTGCTCGCTCTGTAGCTATGGCATTTATTGGGCCCTATAGGCATTTTGAGACCCGTCTTGGCACATAGCACCTACCCTACACTGTTAGGACTGCATGGTGCTTGGAGAGCACCATGGGGTTGTATCATGTAAGTATGAACTGACTTTGGAACTATCATTTCAACCCTTTAAGAAGTGACTCCACTCAACAGACAAATTTGGTAAACATGGATAAGAGGTTTAAACCAAAGTAAACCCTGTATTAAGCAGGGGCACTTTGAACTTCTCCATTAGTTCCTTGGCTCTTTGTCAAGTACTCTTTCTAATATACCAGTATATTCATTATGTAGATTCATGTCAAAATGTTGAGGTCTCCACAGATGACTGTAGAAAATTTCATTTGTTCTGGACAGTTACCAAACTCCAAATAAGAACCAAAGATAAAATAAGCACCAAATATAAATGGGTCTGATTTCTATCATGTATAAGTGGCTATTATTTGGCCCACTAATGTGAAGAAACATTAATAAAAATATAGCATTAAGAAAGATATACTCACAAGATTGATATCCTAATGACTGTGAGAAACTTTTGTCTTTTTTTTTTTTTACAGTGATAAATAAAAGGTAGAAAGCGTAGGAAGGTAGAGAGGACTGAAATCTAATTTTCCTGTCAAAGATACTATATTGTAGTGAATTTAAAAAAAATCTTAATTTAGTCTAAGAATCTTGCATTTCCCTGAAATATTTAGGAAACTGGGGAAAAATGATAGTTCGGTTTCATTTGTTGGAGAGGAGGGGACTGATTCTCTTGGGGTATGGAGCTCTCCTTGTTCCCTGCTCCACTTCCTGAACCTGAAATCTCAGGGTCACTCTTCCGACCGACCTGCCAACTCCCACTTTTATCTGCTCACTTCTGCTTCCTCCTCCTTGTTTCTCTTTGTTCCTAACACCTGGTGTTGCAGTTAGGGTTGGACGCGCGATAAGGATTGAAGATGTGGTCAAGGTTGGAAGAAAGGGCAGTTTTTTTTTTCCTTAAGGCTTGGTAAGAATATGGAAATAAGATCAGAATGATCCCTTTTGAGATTATTGAATAGTAAAGTACAGCTTCGGTCGTGAGTGTAAGAAATAGTGGCATTTGCAGGAATATAGATGGAGATGATAATGTCAGAGTGAAAGGAGCATTTAAAATCTTGTGTTTAAGGGTCAGGGATGAAGACCTGGGCAAGAGGGGTGTGTGCCCTGTAGCTTTAGAGAGCCCCATCTGGCCCTCCTCCAGTTGCACCCCCATGGCACAAGTTGATGGAGCCAAGGGGGTGTGCCCACCTGGAGCTAGAAGCCCTTCTGGACGTGCACCCTCCATTATGGTAGCCACTAGCCACAGGGGGCTATTTGTGCTTAAATTAACTAAAGAAAATTCAGTTCCTCAGATGCACTACCCACATCTCAGATGCTTAATAGCTACATGTGGCCTGTGGCTACTCTATTCAATAGCACAGATATTATAGAGCATTTCCATCAACACAGAACAGAGGGTTCTATTGTACAGTGCTCCAACCATGTTCCAAAACCCAGGACCCCAGAATTCTCTGACCAGTGGCACTCAGTCTGTTTCTCAGGCTTGTGCAGGCCTTTTTCCTGCATCAGTCCTCCTGAAGGTGGATTGCATTACTAGTGTGTGTGTCCCTAGGTCTGAAAGGTGGCCAAAGGATGACTACATATGAGGAATGGGGGAGGGGAGAGTAGAGTTTGGATATGTAGGCATGGATGTCTACTTATACGCATAAAGTTCCTTGAGGCATGGGATGGAGCAGGGCATGAGAAGAGAAGGGGCAGTTTTGGGGCCCAGGAGTTCGGGGCCAGTTCTCCCTGTGCTACATGAAACTCTGAGAAGTCTGAGAATTTAAATCCAAACCTGGCTGTCAAAGCAAGAGGATAGAATATCTTTTACATAATAGTTTGTTTTCTTGATTTACTTAGTTTAAATATTTGTGTATGTGGGGGACGCCTGGGTGGCTCAGTCGTTAAGCGTCTGCCTTCGGCTCAGGTCATGATCCCAGGGTGCTGGGATTGAGTCCCACATCGGGCTCCCTGCTCAGCGGGGAGTCTGCTTCTCCATCTCCCTCTGCTGCTCCCCCTGCTTGTGCTCTCTCTCTCTCTGACAAATAAATAAATAAAAATCTTTAAATATTTGTGTATGTGGTACAAGGTCTATTTGTTCTTTTGCCCCAAGCCTCACAGTGTAAGGCATAGGTCTGGTGCCGTGCAAGGATTTATTTTATTTTATTTTATTTTTATTTTTATTTTTTAAAAAGATTTTATTTATTTACTTGAGAGAGAGAGAGAGAGATAGCAAAAGAGAGCATGAGGGGTGGGCAGGGAGAGGGAGAAGCAGGCTCCCCCGCCCTGAGCAGGGAGCCCGATGCAGGACTCCATCCCAGGAACCTGAGATCATGACCTGAGTCAAAGGCAGATGCTTAACCCACTGAGCCACCCAGGTGCCCCTCAGCTTTTAAAGTAATCTTTACACCTAACATGGGGCTCAAACTTACAACCCCAAGATCAAGAGTTGCTGTGCTCTACTGACTGAGCCAGCCAGGCACCCCAAGATTTTTAATTTATAACATAAAGGATGTATTTCAATGTAATTTATTCAAGCAAAAAATAGAGCACGTGTAAATATCCCTAGTTGATATGGGCATCTGTGACATAGAGCCAGATCTGTCCTGCCTTGAGTTTCTCTAGTATTAACTGCTGTGGTTGCCCACGAGATGGTTATTGACAGTCACACAGTCGTCCTGCTGGGCTATTATTCAAGAGAATAAACAATTCCTTCTTGAATGGGTAGTTTATTTATGCTTAGACAAGGCACAGTCTGTTCTACTTGATACATTTTTTTTTGATACTTTTTTTTTAAATAAAAAATTGTTTAAAGTGTTTGCTAAAGCTTACATGGAGATGGTAATGGCATTAAAAACATTTGGCAAATGTGATTTGGGGTACCAATAATCATGTCAGATACATAATTTTGTTGAAGCTTTAATCAAAATTTGATTCATGTTTTAGTTGGAGTATTTTATGATTCAAGCCTTAAATCAGAAGACAAGTGAAAAAATGAAGAAAAGGAAAATGAGCAACTCATTTCATGGGATTAGACCACCTCAGCTTGAACAACCAGGTGCATTTATTAACCAATGTTTAGACATTCAATTGATATTTATTATAGATCACTTCACAAGTTGTGGAGCAATTGTTCCCAAATTTGAGTATGTTGAGGACTCACCTGGCATTCTTTTTCAGTAAATCTGGGGTGGGGTGTGGCATCTGCTTTTAAAATAAGTTTCCAGGTGATTCTGAAGCAGGTGGCATTTGGACCCATTTTGAGGAATACTGTCTTAAACTTGAATCTGTAGCTTCTTTAAATAATAGTGTGTGTGGTGAAGAGTTATCCTAGATTAAAGTCTAAGAGAAATAACAACCAAGTGCAATACATGAACCTTGGTTGGATACCAGTTCAATAAAAACATCTCAAAGACTTAGGGCAGTTGGGTAAAATTTTAATATGGACTGGAAATTAGATGACATGAAGGGATTGTTAATTTTTGTATGTATGGTAATGGTTCTGTGATTAATGGAAGAACGTCCTTATTTTTTGGAAATGAATATGACATTATTTAGACCTGAAGTATCTTGATGATTCCAAGTTACTTTTAAGTGGTTCAGCAGTGTGAGTGTGTGTGTAAGTGTGTATCTTGCTAGAGATAAGGCAAACATGACAAAATGTTAATTGCAGAATGCAGGTGAAGGATATGTGTGTGCTTATTGTATCATTCAACTTTTTCAAATGTTTGAAAATGTTCATAACACAAGGTTAGAGGAAAATAAAGTTAAAGATACATAAATACAATTTTTATCAAAGTTAACTTTTATCAAAAATTTTGAATAATTATATCATAGAAGTAGAGTAGTAGTACACTATGCAGACCAATTTGTTATGGAAGTTGTTTTAAAATGTAGGTACTTGATAAGTAGTTGTTAAATAAATCAATATACATTAAAAATCCGGAAAACATAAATTAGTATGGGAAGTCAATTCCAGGTTTTTTTGTTTTTGTTTTTAAATGCAGATAGATCCTAAGTGATACACAGTTTGGCTTTGAACTTCCTGGTGTGCAAAGTAAGAGGGGTGACGTGGTCTGTTATGGAGCAAACCTGCTGCTTTAAATGCTTTCTGGATGAGAAGATGGGTGGGGAATAGCCAAGTAAACAGTGGAGATAGATGATTTCTTGGTTCTTATTAATTCAAGAAGAGAAAACACCACAATTCCTCTGAGAAAGCAAAGCCGTTCATGGATTTAGCAGAAGGAGAAATTTCTCACGCGGGTCTCCGCCTGGGGTGCTCGGTGACCTAGCGGACAGGGCTTTCCAAAGGGTCCGGTCGGCAAATGCAGTCTCCATTCTCACAGGTGGAACTTTGTGCCCCTCTGTGAGGTGTCACACTGAACATTGGTTCTGGTGCTCATTTGTTCTAAGGATAGATCCTGGGCTCCGGGACATGAGGCTTTCACATTGTCCGTAAACCATTCAGGGTCTGTGAGGTGCCTTAGGCAGTGGAGGGAAGGATGAGTGGGGTGTAGTTCAGGAAAAGCCTAGCCACCAAAGTTCCTTGTTTTTATCAGTTTTAGAGACTGGAGTTTTGCTTTAGAATAAAGAAATTTCATTCCTAAAGAAGTTTGAATTCTACTGATTTAGAGGATTGTGTATCTTTCAAGCAACCCTTTACAGATAACTTTCCTTGGCTCAGCTTGGGATGAATCTAGCCAGCAGATATTTTACAGCTAGGGTCTATGATGAGGGCCTAGAGTGTGATCCTCTGTGGGGATATTCTGAATCGACTGAGGACTAATTTACCTTTGTTAGTGATCAAAATAGGAAATTGAAGGTTACATCCTTTTTTTTTTTTGAAATTAAGGACTCTAACCAACACTCTACCTGACGTGTGCTGAGGGGGAAAGGCTGGTTCTTGTTTTACTAGGAGGAAAAAAAATATTAATTTTAGGATCAAAATAAAATGATCAAGATGGTTTCAAACAATGGAGTCCCAAGACTCTGAGCCCTGGCTTTGAGGGGTTACAGTTTTAACAATTTAATTTTAACAATTTCCCCCCCCTCCATTTCCAAACCCAGGAGGAAAATGACTTCAAATGTGAGGTTAGGTTCTTCAGAACTTGTTCAGTAATTTGTTTGCATTTTTTATCAGGTGAAAGTAAGGAATGATAACCACCAACATACTGAAATGTAGTATTTGGAGAGATATTTTATTTGGGGACACACAAATAGTGAGAAGTACTATTTTATTGCTGTTAATGGCATTAGTACAATTTTCATTTGCACTTAAAAAATACTGTGTATTTCTGTGACTTATCTCAGGATAATTAATTTATGTGTGTTTATAATTAGATTAAGTTACACAAAATTGCTGTTTTCGTAGGGTCACAAATGGCCAAATGTTGGCAATTTCATGTGGCTCAACTTAATAATATTAAGAAAATATTCTTTTCTTGTGTTTAAAAGAAACCGGAAATGATTGGGTCTATAGACCTAAAGAAAAATTTGTCACTTTTATTTTCTTCTTTGAAACAGAAAAAATGCCTGTCTTAAAGGCTGAAGCATCGCATTATAACTCTGATTTGAATAATTTGTTGTTCTGCTGCCAGTGTGTGGATGTGGTATTTTACAACCCAGATTTGAAGGAAGTTGCCGAGGCCCACAAGATTGTCCTGTGTGCCGTAAGCCACGTTTTCATGCTACTTTTCAATGTGAAGAGTCCCGCTGACATTCAGGATTCCAGTATCATTCGAACTACCCAAGACCTCTTCACTATCAGCAGAGACACTGCATTTCCCGGTGCTCGCCAGGATTCTCCCGGCAACCCACCCTTACGCGTCGTCGTCAAAGACGCCCTCTTCTGCTCTTGTTTGCCGGACATTCTGCGCTTCATTTATTCAGGTATCTTGTTAAATGATTCTGGTACATTCTCTTAATTAAGCTTTTGAAAGGAACTACGCCTGTGGTCCTCAGGTGTATTGTCTAGTTTCATGTTTATTTTCTTTCTACCACCTGAGGTAAGGATTATACATGAAATAGTCTTTACTTTATATATAGGAATTGGTCCAAGCTTTCCATTTTCCTTATAAGTTTACTTGCCTTGGTTTTAAATCTACTTGTGAAAATAATAATTTCTTTTCCTACTGAGCAGATATTAGTTAGTATTTTATTTAAACAAAAATATCCAAAATGTGAAAATACGAGACTTTGTCCAGTCTAACTCTAAAGAAACAAAATTTTCAAAGTGTGAATGAAAATAAATATCTGCATCTTTTTTTAAAAGATTTATTTATTTGAGAGAAAGAGAGTGAGAGAGAGCATGAGCACGTGCTAGAGAGAGCGTGAGTGGAGGGAGGGGCAGAGGGAGAGAGGAAGCTGACTGCCAGATGAGCAGGGAGCCCAATGTGGGGCTCCGTCTCAGGACTCTGAGATCCATGACCCAGAGATCATGACCTGAGCCGAAACCAAGAATCAGATGCTTATCCGACTGAGCCACCTAGGTGCCCCAGTATCTGCATCTTAAAAGATGGCCATTTATTCACTTTTCTGTTTTACTCTTAGATTTTGGAGGGATTTGAGAGAAATTAGCAGGGTCCTTGCATTCAGTTTAGGAACTGGAAAGAGTATCTGAAGTTAGTTTAGACTGAGATCTGCTTAATTAATTTTTTTAAGACTGATTTAATTAATTTTTGACTGTTTAATTTTTTTAAGATTTTATTTTTAAGTAATCTCTACATGCAGTGTAGAGAACCCACAACCCCAAGATCAAGAGTCACACACTCAACTAACTGAGTCAGCCAGGTACCCCGACTTTGACTATTTTAGATTTTACTTTTTTTTCTTACTGCGCACTTATCTTTTTAAGATAGAGCTTATCGGGTGCCTGGGTGATTGAGTTGGTTAAGCATCTGCCTTCGGCTCAGGTCATGATCCCAGAGTTCTGTGATCGAACCCCGCATCGGGCTCCTTGCTCAGTGAGAAGCCTGCTTCTCCCTCTCCCTCTGCCCCTGCTTGCGTGCTCTCTCTCTCTCACTCACTCTCTCAAATAAAGTCTTTTTTAAAAAAGATAGAGCTTATCAATTATTTTTCTTCTTGTCCTTTTAAGTGATTGTAGCTACTATATTTTAAAAAATAGAAGTTTTATCTGAGTCCTTTTAGCTAATGCATTGAGGGTGTCAAATCTAAGTGTCCCATATAAGAATGGAAAAGAATTGACGTAAAATGATTTTTAAAGTAAGCATCTAAGTAAAAATTTTCCAAGAACTTCTCTCTTCTTTAATTTTTCACCTGGAATCATGTTCTGATGAAATATTAAGTTAAGGTCACTCCTCTGGAATGTGGCTATTTTTAGACTTCAAAATGGGGGACAGATAAGTTTATAAAGGTTTGCAAATAAAGTGCTGTTTCATATTTGTAAGAAACTTTTGGATACTCTTCAGTTGAAATAATTGATGTTAATATAAGATTTTACTTTTTTCATTTGGGCTGTGGTTATATAATTTTACTATAAGTTAAAATAAAAATTAATGGTTTTGAAAAGTGCAGTTGCAGTATGAAGATTTAAGTGGATTAAAATGTATATATATGGGGGCACCTGGCTGGCTCAGTCAGTAGAGCATGTGCCTCTTGATCTCAGGGTCATGAATTCAAGCCCCATGTTGGGCGTAGAAATTACTTTTTAAAAAACTTCAAAAAATCTCTATATATGTACATACATACACCTACATAGGAGTAGAATAGTAGTGGTGGGTCTTAAACCCATTATTCAGTGAATATTGGCTTGGAAAAGGCATAAATAACCACTCCTACAGAGCACACCAACACAGCGCCTTCAACATGGCAGGTTTTATGTCGGTTGAATTAATGAGTAGACTCTAGTAGCTGTGAATCATCATATGAATAAAGCAGACTAGTTAAACACTTCATTTACTAATAGATTATCATGTTTAAACTTTGAGTCTCACAGTTTAGAATTTAAGGCTAATTCTGAAAAACAAAAATGTTTACATGTTAAATGAAAAAAAGTCTTTAGTGATGTTTAGAGAACTGTGAAGGAAGTGTTTGGCTTTTCGTTTCAGAGATGTTACTGTTGAAATTGAGTTGTTCAGCAAGTTTACTACAATATCTATTGAATACTTTCGAAGGCACATGAGCGCTTTGAAGTCAGTTACATCCTCTTTAATAAGGTAGCAATAAAAAAGCTAGTTGTATCTCCAGTAACAGAACCTACTTGTCTTTCTTGTAGGGAATGATTTTTTTAAATTGCAAAATTAATACATGCAGATGAAAGCAAAGGGGAAAGAAAAAAAGTTTTCCTCAGTCCCCTTATGTGTTAACTCTAATGCTATTTGAAAGAAGTTAATTTATTGGGAAACATACATTAAGGAAAATGTATCTATAGTAAGCGCTGTTTTCCTCCGGCTGGAGCACAGAGTGGGAGGTGAAGGCTTGCAGGAGATGAGGCTGGCAGGCCAGATGGAAGCTGTTCATCGAAGCTGTTCTGGAATGTTAAGCATGATCAGACTGGGCTTTGGCATGCTCATCTCTGGTGATAGTAGGGGGATGGAATAAAGCAGGCAAAATAGGAGTTTAATAAGGAAGCTCCATTACTCTGGAGATCAACCTCAGGAAGGCCATTATTCTGACAACAGGTGGTTGGTGCTACAGCTTGTCCATCATTTGGACCAGGGCTTTTCAAACTTAATGTGCATGCGAGTCAGCTGGGGATCTTGTTCATGTGCAGATTTTTTTTTTTAAAGATTTTATTTATTTATTTGAGAGAGAGGGAGGGAGAAGGAGCATGAGCAGGGGGAGGGGCAGGGGGAGAAGCAGGCTCCCCGCTGAGCAGGGTACCCAATGCCAGGCTCCATCCCAGGCCCCTAGGGTCATGACCTGAGCCGAAGGCAGACGCTTAACTGACTGAGCCACCCAGGTGCCCCTCATGTGCAGATTCTGATTCAGTAGGCCCCCGGTGGGGGGGGGGTGAGGCATGAGATTCTGCATTTTATGCAGTCTCCCAGGTAATGCTGGTGCTCTAGACTACACGCATCACCTGCTCTGGGAAGAACCACGTACCGGCCACAGACGGGGGCGATAAGAGCCTGGCATTCAGTCCAGAGGCCCAGGGGAGGGCCCCGGCCTATCAGTCTCAGGGCACAGAGTCAAAATGGGGTCAGCTGCAAGTCTGACTGATGTGAGCTCTTCGGAGCTGGAGCTGGAGCTGGAGCTGGAGCTGTCGCTGCCCTGTGGTAGCCGCTGCCCGAGGGTGGGGCAAGTGGCTGCTTTGTGGCCGGGTGGAAACTAAGTGAGCCCGGGAAGAGCAGTTAGAGGCAGAGGAACATCATAGCATGGAGAGCTTGCTACAAGCCCTTGACCAGTTCAGAGCACAGACTTCCTAACCTGACACTGAGCTGTTGCATTTCTGCTCTGTTCATTCTCTCCTTGTATGTCAAGACCCAGAGAAGAGGTGGTGTCAGGTAAGAGCTGGGCCACAGGCCATTGACCTGGGGCTGCAGGGAGATCCCGATGCTTTGAGGAAAAGGAAAAATAAATGCTTTAGCAGGTACCTATTACTTATTCTGTACTGTAGAGTATAACCTCAGACTCAAACAAAAGTTACATTGTGTTTAGTTATTCTTTTTTTTTTTTAAGGTTTCTATTTATTTATTTGATAGACACAAGGAGAGAGGGAACACAAGCAGGGGGAGTGGGAGAGGGAGAAGCAGGCTTCCCATGGAACAGGGAGACCAATGCAGGGCTCAATCCCAGGACCCTGGGATCATGACCTGAGCCGGAGGCAGATGCTTAATGACTGAGCTACCCAGGCGCCCCACGTTGTGTTCAAATTATGTTAAAAAAGATATTAAAGCTGTACTTGTACGGTAAAGACAATTGTGAAAAAATGGAGAAAATTTGTTAAGAGAAGAAAAATCAATCCAATTCCTTCTCTCAAATGTCGGAACACTTATTGATGTTTTGTTTTATCCTCTAGTCTTTGTGCATAGATTACCATTTATTTAGAAAATATTTTTTTATCATGGGTGTCTGGATGGCTCACTCGGTTAAGCATCTGCATTTGGTTCAGGTCATGGTCTGGGGTCCTGGGATGGAGCCCCATGTCGGGCTCCCCGCTCAGCAGGGAGTCTGCTTCTTCCTCTCTCTCTCTCTCTCTACCTCTCACCCTTGCTCATGCTCTCTCTCTCTCTCAATAAATAAAAAAAGAAAATATTTTTCATCAAATTAAAGTTTTAAATATATATGTATATATATATATTTTTAGAGACTTCAGTAAAGACGACAGTCTTAAGGGATTTTTGGTTTGCTTTTTTTCTTCCTGCTTGTTGTTGAGCATTTTTTTTTTTAAAGATTTTATTTATTTATTTGAGAGAGAGAGAATGAGAGAGAGAGAGCACGAGAGGGAAGAGGGCAGAGGGAGAAGCAGACCCCCCGCCGAGCAGGGAGCCCGATGCGGGACTCCAGGATCATGACCTGAGCTGAAGGCAGTCGCTTAACCAGCTGAGCCACCCAGGCGCCCCTGTTGTTGAGCATTTTAAAACTTTTGAACTGAACATAGGTTTTAAGACTCAGTTACGCAGTGGTTTCTTCACAGAAGCCCTGGCTTACCCACAGGTTATGTTAGGGGGGCAGTGAAGACAGGAGCTGTTTGTACTCATGTCTATTGGGTCAGTAACACAGAGGTAGAACTCCATGACACAGCATGCTCAGGAATATTTGCTCTGAGTAAACATGGACTGAAAAACCAACTTCAGTCTATCTCCTGCTTTTTTTTTTTTTTAAACCAAATTACAAAGAATGTCTTAATTTCCTCTAAATAACATGCTTCTTTTTAATCTTTAGGAATTTGAAATTTTGTATATATGTGTCACCAGGGATGTTTGGGTCCTATATTTAGGAAGGGTCTGTTTAATGGTCTGGTTAACATAAGGTTTCAGCGTATTCTCCTATGAAAATTCCTAAATAAATAGACACAGTAAAAGTATGTGTTTTGTGTATGTTAATTTTCTACTGGGTAATAGCTAACACTGTATACTGTATAAGTACTGAAAGACTATTACTCAAAGAGAAGAAGCGAGGCCAGCAGTTTGTGGGTCTTCATTGAGTCATCCTTTATTGGCATATAGTTGTGACATTCTTACAATACTTGATAGTCTTTATGCTTGCAAATTCCTGATGCACACAATTTCAGATGGTTAGGAATTGAAATGTATGTCAGAGCCTCAAGAATTTTGCTTTGAGCTTTTCATACCACAGATGGCCCTTAGAATTTCACATCCCTTATTGAAATGCCTCCAGAGTAAATGAACACGTGGAAAGGAGCTTTCATCTTCAGCTTGCCTGGTATCTTCCAGCTCTTGGATTATTCTGTGGTATGCTCTTTTCTGCACTACCTAAAAGTTCAGCTTGTATGCATGAGTATAACATGCTCCCTAAGAACCTCAGTCAATTCAATCAGCGCTCTGAGAAGTTAACTAAATAGAAAATCCCAGTCAGTTATGCAAGATGAGTAAGTTCTAGAGATCTGCTGTACAATATCATGGCTATTGTTAACAACACTGTAACGTACACCTAAAATTCTGTCAAAAAGATAGATCACGTGTTAGATGTTCTTTTTTTTTTTTTTTTTTTAAGATTTTTTTTAGAGGGAGAGAGAGAGAGAGAATCCTCAAGCAGACTCCCTGCTGAGCGCAGAGCCTGACAGGGGCTCGATCCCAAGTCCCCGAGATCATGACCTGAGCCGAAAGCAAGAATTGGACACTTAGTTGACTGAGCCACCCAGGCACCCCACATGCTAAATGTTTTTACCACAATTAAAAAAAGGAAAAGAAAATCCCAGCATAAGGATTATTATTTTATTTGGAACAAAACCTGTCAAAGATGACTTGGTTAGCATTTCTAATTATAAGAACAGCCCAATCCTTAGAGTGCTCTGTGAACTGGTCTTTCATCTTTAGTTATTGGATCCTTTTGTGTCTATTCTGAGACAAATGAGTGGCCTGTAGGCATTTACCTGCTGTTAATCCCATGTATTTCAACTTAATTCTTGCTTTCTCTCAGATAATATTCTGAATGGAGATATTGTTTAGGTATTCGTTAATTAATACAATTTATTTTTAAGAGCTAATATCTGTTCTCCTTTAACATGTGTGAGTGTAGACAATGAAAAAATACCTGTTGGCTGCATACCACAGATCCTGGGTTTGGATCATGGGTGAAATGTCTGAAGGAAGAGCAGTGATGATCAGCACTCAGTGCACCTTAAAATCCCCTGGAAGGCTTTTAAAATGATGTCTGGGCTCCAGCCCCAGAAATCCTAATTTAATTGGTCTGGGACTGATACCTCCTTGATGGTATTTTATGAAAGATCTACAGGTAAATGTAATGCACAGCTATAGTTGGGAATCACTGGCAAAAATTCTTTTGATCTGGGTTCTGTTGGTTTCTCAGTGGTTCTTTTACTTATGACATTTTAATGTAGACCGTAATGTCTGTGTGTGTATGGGAAATTTTCTGGAGAGACAATGCAAAGAATTTATCAGATAGTGAAGAGTATGTGCCTTTAAAGTTAGAAATCCTTAGTGCCAAAAAATGAAAACAACAAACCCGAATGTTTCTTGACCGCAAACCTTTGGGAATTTGAGAAGGGAGGGGAGCCGACAGTGAAGTCAGGAAAAGAGCATCAAGGGTAGGAAGAAACAGTGGTGTTGCTGGAGCTGGCTGGCACCAGCTTGTGAGAGCCTATTGGGTTTCTCTCTTCCCAGCTCTGTGCTCCGTGATGTTGTGTCGTGTTGGTGGCTTGAAGGTGGCCATAGTGCGAGTATTTGCACCACAGAGGGAGCAAATGGCCCAGATCAGGGCTCTCCCTCCCCTGCCCCCTCTCCTCAGGATACACTGTAGCAATGATGAAGGTTAGGTGAGGGGAAGTTTAAAGATACTCTAGAGCGAGCGCCCAGTGCTACAGGGCTCAGCTGTAATGACGCCTGAGAGCCGCTGGGCTATCACTTGACTCTCCAGAGTAGCTTTGGATCTGGTTGGCTCAGCCTGGCTGCAATTGCCTGATCTCATTGGTTCAGTCATGTTTATTATGTGCTCTCCCCATCCCTGATGTCCATGAAGTCATCTGGCAAAGTTCTGGATACAGAAAGGGGAATATCAGAAGAAAAAGATAGATCGAAAAGGATTTTGAGTTACGCAGAGGTGAGAGGACTTGCTTCAAGTCACACCAGTAATTAATGGCAGAGGTAGAACTGGAGCCTGGGTCTCCCAGTTATGCCTGCCCACACTACACCTTGGTTAATTATATTTTTAGGCATTAGGACTTTCTGTAAGCCATGGGATAGATAGGGGTCATCTCTTCAAATATCATCATCAGAATTGTACTTTTGGAAACGTATCAGCATTGAGTATTGGGATTGATTGAATGAGGAGAGGGCCACTGAGGAGCAGGTAGGCTCTATGGGAGGCTGTGGTAAGCCAAGCGAGAGAGATGCTTGGAGAAAGGAGAACTTTTGCTGACCATCAAACAGTTTTGTAAGACACAGAGGAAAGGTGGGGCGCCTGGGTGGCCCAGTTGTTAAGCGTCTGCCTTCGGCTCAGGTCATGATCCCAGGGTCCTGGGATCAAGCCCCACATCGGGCTCCCTGCTCCGCGGGAGGCCTGCTTCTCCCTCTCCCACTTCCCCTGCTCGTGTTCCCTCTCTCGCTGTGTCTCTCTCTCTCTCTGTCAAATAAATAAGTTAAATCTTAAAAAAAAAAAAAAAAAAGACACGGGGAAAGGGACTGTCAGTGTAGACAGACGTGAAATGAGCCTGGGAAGAGATAGCTTGGAAGTTGGGTGGGGTGAGGACCCGGGGAGGGAGGGACCAGGTGCAGTGATCTCGCTCCAGTGCAGCGGTCAGACAGCTCCTCAGGACAGTATCTACGGCCCTTCTTCAGGTTGGGTCTGTAGAGATGGCTGTTGAACATCCTTCTCTGACCCTGACCATGCGTGAGACTTTCTGAATGCATTCTGTTCCTACTGCTCATTCTTCTACCTGATGGTAGTCACTGCCCTCCAGGATTAGTATGATTTAAGGTAATTTGGAAAAAAACACATCTGCCTTCTTAACCCAGGCAAGTAAATAATTGAGTGTAGGAAGGACTACTTGTGATGGCAACTAATATTCTGGCTGTTGCTGTCATTTTTAGGTGACCATCTATTATAAAGAGGTGACAGCTGTCTGGGAAGGCAGACTTCAGGTTTTGAGAAACACATTAGGGGAAGGCAAACTTTTTTTTAAAATGTGAGAACTGTTTAAATGTTTTAGTGTAATTACGAGGATATATATTTGGTAAAGAAAGAAAATACTAAAAGAAGGAGCAGTGCTATCTAATGAGAGATTTACTTTTGTACTTTCTGTTTTAACATAAAAATCTAATATATATTAATTTGTTTACAGGTGCTTTTCAGTGGGAAGAATTGGAAGAAGACATCAGGAAGAAAGTGAAAGATTCTGGGGATGTTTCAAGTGTAATTGAGAAAGTTAAATGCATTTTAAAAACACCAGGAAAGGTAAATTACTTTATTGAAAATCAGTTTACCTTGATATTCTCTGAATTTTAACATATATACGATGATAAATGAATAATATTGAGTCATGGGAAGAGTCAACAGTGTAGAAATATGTTTTTCTTGAGTCTATTTTTGCCATTTGAATATTTTAAACGCAAACATGTACTTCTTACTATCTCAGATTTTAATTCATGTAAGAATTAAAATATGTGTGAGTCATGTCTTTAAAATGTTGGTTTGTGAATTCCATCCTCTGAAACATTCCCCTAGAGCTCCAGGAATATGCAGTCTATGTCAAGAATGAAGGGCTGTTGAATCTATCCAGTTCAGTTAAGCTTGTTAAAGGGGATGCTTTCTCACTTCTCCGAATTTAAGTCCAAGTAGTTTTCAGGAGCAAGGCAGTTTCTCTGTGTGCCTTTTTCAAGAGTTCTGAGAAATATGTTTGATCAGCTAGACAGTTAAGGATTTGTTTCTCATCTTGTATAGGTTTAAAATTATAAACCAGGTCAACGGTTATAAAATACAGACTTTGTATACAGTCCTAAATGTGTGCATGTTCAAACTCCAGTCCCTTAGGCTGTCCAGTCTGTAAGGGCTTTAAAAATAAATTTGTTCATTTTAGAGACAACTACATTATACCCTTGAGCCAGTGTATTCTTATTTCAGATTATGTGCTAAACAAATTGGCTACAGTAGATAAAAAGGTAAGCTATGTGCAGTGCTCAGCAGAATATAGACTTATGTTAAATGTAAGAGAAATGATCATTCCTTGAGTTTTTTTTAATACAGATGACTTTGTCAATTCTACAACCTAGGTTAATGACATTTTAAGTTATATTTTAAAACTGTACAAGCTTTTAATGAAGATTTGAGAAAAAAAAACTGAACAAAGTAACATGGAATTAAGGGCAAGCCTTTTCTTATTTCTGTCACACACAGAAGCAGGTATGCAGAAGCTGTGCAGTTTTCCAGGGGATGGCAGAGCGCTAGCTCTCTTGCAATCTAATTCAACTAAATAATGCTTTTTTAGAATTGTGCACATAAACCTGCATTCTGTTTTCCGAAAGCTCTCTATATTACTTGTTTATAGACTGGTGGAAGTGTGCACCATGTATATCAGTGTTCTGTCCAAACTACTATCTTCCTATCTTTTTTACCTTCAAATTCAAGCCATGGGTGACAAAGGGATCTGTTGAGGCAGATTCATGATTGAGCGGTCTATCTATTCATACATGATATACATCTACGTAGTATTCATGACATACAAATTCATAACCTTTATATGAATGGTGAAGACAGAAGTGTTGCCTCTCATTCTAAACCTGAGCCTTTCCTTGAGTGTGATTTTAAACAGTCATTCCTTTGAGTACTGAGAAAAAATGAATTCTTGTTGGGGAAGAGGCTGGGGGCTATACAATTCCATGATATTGAACTAAATTCCCTCCTTTGTACAGGAGGAGAAATGAGTTCTGTGCTTTCTTCCTGTGCTTTCCTGGGGCAAAGGTCTCTCTCATTCACTGAGTACAACACAGAGCTATAACCCTGAGTTAGAAATCAGGAAATGTACATTCAAATTGTGAGTTGGCATGAATTATTTCTGGCTTTGAGCAAGTCTTCTCAGGACTTTCTGTAAGAAGAGGAATAGATGATGATTTCTAAAGCCCTTGCTGATTCTCAAATTCTGTGCTGCTTTTTGACTTGCTCTGCTTTGTGTGTGGCATTCACCCGAATCCTCTCCACCAGTTCCTTTGCTGTGTATTAAGGTAGGTTGTGTACAGGATCTGAGAACATGCTTTATAGGAGCAGGATTTGTATGATCCTGTTTTGTTTCTCTGCCTTGCTCATGGAAATCATTCTGGAGTGTGTTTTCTTCCTCCTTTTGAGGAAGGATAATATTTTGTTTTCCTCTTACCAAAGATTTTAATCTCCCACCATAGTGGATTAATCCAGAGTGGAGAGTAGGTGCCATTTATTCTTACTGCTGCAGTTGTATGCTTGATTATTTCTTAGGGATGAAGCTTTCCATATTCCCTGGAGAGCCAAGCAGAGGCCTGGGTTCTGACCCAGGCAGAGGTCCTGAGATTCAGCTAGGGAAACGGTGGGAGGGGGAGGGAACAGGGGCTGGCTCTTGAATTCTGAGGTTGGAACAAAGGAATGTCTGAAGATGACAGGAAGGACAAACAAAGCACCAAAGCGTAAGTGGGGTGTAGTGGGGGGCTGGAGACTGCTGCATCAGCCAGCGGCACTATTACGGAGTGACAGTAGTCATGGAAGTCACGGTAGTCATGGAATTGGTGCTCTGGAACTCCGGAGCAGAGAGCCAGGCAAGCTTTGATCGATTCCAGGAATCCCAGCTGTAGGTGGGATTATAAGACTGTACATTAAGACAGAGATGAATCAGTTCATTACTTTCAGGTATTTTAATGTTGATCTAGTAAGTAGTAGGACATGATATGATGGGGGAAAATAGTGTTTTTTAAAATGACAAATTAAATTTTTGTGTGTGTACCTTTTTAGTTAGGGAACAAGCAAACAGGTTCTTTATGTGAACATATTTTACCAGGCATTCATATGAGGTTGAGCATTGTCTGTTTCCCAGCTAAAGGGGATGTGGGTGGATTCAGGACCTCACGTTTCTCAGCCAGAGAGCTGTGTTTTCCCTTAGCCAGTTCGCTCACTGCTGAGAATGTTACACAGAGCCCTGCTGCTCCCTCTTCTGGAGTGCATGTCATTCTTGAGGGCAAGTTCCCTGGGCAGCTAGGAGCGCAGGTGCCATGGAGGAGGGAATCGTCATTTCTTCAGACATTTAGTACCGTTTTCCAAATTCTCTAATCAACTTATATATTTATTAACAGAGCATGTTGTACAACATTTCCACTTGTATTTTTGTTTTCCCTTATAGATTAATTGTCTAAGGAATTGCAAAACTTATCAAGCCAGAAAACCTCTGTGGTTTTATAACACTTCCCTCAAGTTTTTCCTTAATAAACCAATGCTTGCTGATGTTGTCTTCGAAATACAAGGTAGGGTTCAATTTTTATCAGTACTCGTTTTTCTTTCTTATTTTCTTACCTAACTTTCTATTTCAGCTTTGAATATTTTGGGCGAAGAAATGACTATTCTCAATGCAGAATATAGATTAATACTGGCTGAATTTAAGCAAAATCTAGGGAAATGAAGTATTTTGTTAAAACAAGGAAAGAAATTTATGTTTTCCTAGTTTTTTTTCCCCCCTTACCATAGGCTTCATTAGTTTTTAGGAACCAGTGTGGAATGGAATGATCTGTAATATCACCTCATTGTATATTTTTGTCCCTATATTTCTTCGAGATACTAGTTGTTGAATCATCTGAAACCAGCCCCCTTCACATTATATTACCTGAAATTTATCCAGTTCTCTTCCTTTCTATTTGAGCAAAGGAACTAAGCAGACGTTGAGGGTCATGCCTGGCTCACATTAGGCCTGGGTAGGTATTGCTACGTTTATTCCTCACGGCACTCTGAGAATTATCACCAGAGCAACTGAGAGCTGCTTTTTATCTCTGTAGGAAAGTAATGCTACCTAATTTTAATAATGATAAGCTGTTTTAATGCCCATTATTGATTATTCGCTTGGGTAATTTTGCCACTTCAGTAGATTAAAAGCATAATCTTTCAAGTGAATTGTCAGGTACCTTCAATTATGCAAGAAGGTTAGGAGTTGTTTCCACATGTATTAAGTAGAACTTCAAGTAGACTATTACTAGAAGAAAAAATTATAATTTTATGGTAGAAATGTATGGCAGCTAACAGTCATTTGCTTTTTAAAATTTTTCCTCAGAAAGATTCATTTTAACTTTGGCCACTTGCCAAGACAAACAGTGTATTGGAAACTTCCCAAGTGCCCTCTGATAAGCTCCAGTCAGCACTGTTTGAAATGTGCACATGAGACACTGAGAATGGGACAGTAAGAGTGACTTCGAAATACATAAAAAATGATTTGGGGGGGAAAAAAGCTAACAAGAGACTGTATTTGCTTATAATTTGCATAGGAGGCCTTCCCCCCAAACATCATGTTAGTATAACCTACTGAAAAGTTTTTCAAAAGGAGTATGAAACACATGAAAATATATGTTAAGAGAAAAGAAATAAAGAGTGATGTGGAGAATTATTTCTCCTTAGAATCTCTTGCTTTTGTCTCACAATTCCACCTGCCAACTCTTTTGCAGGCACCTGCCCGTGCCCCGCGCTGTGCAGAGGCTGGGTGTGGGCGGGCTAGTTGTGGGCCTTCGCTGAGGCTCAGCTGCTCTGCTGCTCTTTGTAGCCTCCTCAGCTCAAAAACCAAGGCCTCCCAAGGTCGGAAGCTGAGACAAGCAGGCATGGGTGGAAGCGGGCTCTAGCAACAGCTTCTCTGCCATGTGTGGGAGGAGAGGCAAGCGTAGCTTCTGGAGTTTGGGGAGGGAGCTCTAGTGTGCAGAAGGGAGCAGTGTTGTCTCCTCTGGAGGCAGGCTCGTCTGCAACCCTAGTTTATTTAGCCTCAGCTTTGCATTCCAACCAGCACGTATCCATAGGACAGTCACTTAATGCGTCTTGCTTTATGAAGTCTTCTCATTTCCAGAGTGAAGAAGGTGAGCCAGATAGCTTCTAAAAGGTCATTTTTCGTGGTAAGCTTGTTGAGGAGGTAGTGACCAGGACTGGAAAGACCTGGTTGGGATCTTGTGTGGGTGCATATTTACCGTACTGGTGTGGTGGTGCTTTACCTTTCTGATCCTTTGTTTCCTTGCCTGTCACATGGGGATACTGATTTCTACCTGGTGGAGTGGTCATGAGGATCGGGGCGGTGCATGTAAGGGTATATATAAAGGCTTGGTGGTACATATTCTAAATCTCTCTTGAATTAGGCAAGTTTCCTGTTTTCAGAGTAAAACAAAAAAAAAATTCTAAAAATTTCATTTTTGAAACTTGGGAGAGTAATGCGAAGAAGGTATGACAAATGTAGGATTTTATTTTAGTGTATAATAAAAACAAAGATCTTTGATAATTTATGTTAAGGTTATTAGAAAACTTGGGCTTTCAAATTTTATTTCACTCTTAAGCATTTTCCTTTTAAAAAAAAGTTTCTAAAACTGTAACAGCAGTTGAATTCTACAAAGGAAAGATACTTTAGGCCTTGACATTTTCAAAGAACATGTTTATCTTTTCACTAGAAATTGATGCTTCCCCCCCTCTTTCATTCTTCAGCTTTATCTTATTGCTGGTTGGTATAAGAACACTGGATTGTTGGGGCGCCTGGGTGGCTCAGTCGGTCTGCCTTCCCCTCAGGTCCTGATCCCAGGATCCTGGGATCGAGCCCCGCATCGGGCTCCCTGCTCAGCGGGGAGCCTGCTTCTCCCTCTGCCTGCCGCTTCCCCTGCTTGTGCTCTCCCTATCTCTCTGTCAAATAAATAAATAAAATCTTTAAAAAAACAAAACAAAACACTGGATTGTGTTCATTTGGCATATTTGATACAGTGTTTATCTATTTATATAGTTTATATACTATGTTGAAAAATGTGACTATACTGAGGTGTATTGCATTATGGTTTCACAATGGAACAGTTCATAATACCAAACAGTAGTTGGAAAAAGGTGAGAAACAGAGTGATGATTTTCCAAACTGGCGGTATAATCGTTTTCCAAATCAAATTAAAATCTTGAAACAGGTTTGACAGTACTTTCAGGTAGTGGGTGTTTTCTTTGCTGGTCTTATAACTCTGTTGTAACTACATTATCAATGGAAAATTTCTGTTAAAATTCTAAGGTTACTATGAGAGACGATGGACTCTGAAAAACAAACTGAGGGTTCTAGAGGGGAGGGGGTGGGAGGATGGGTTAGCCTGGTGATGGGTATTAAAGAGGGCACATTCTGCATGGAGCATTGGATGTTATGCACAAACAATGAATCATGGAACACTACATCTAAAATGAATGATGTAATGTATGGTGATTAACATAACAATAAAATTTTTTTTTTAAATGTAAAAAAAAAATTCTAAGGTTACTTATCAAATTCCTTCCCCATCTCCTGTCCATTTAGTATTTGGGGTCAATCAACCCAAATGAGAGCCTGTCTAGTTTGTTTAAGCCGTGCTTCTGCTTTTCCTTTTCTTTTTTTCAATAGTCCTAGTTCAGATTTTAAAACCTTAGAATTACAAACCCAACTGCATTACCTGTTTGGATTCTTTGTGAATTGATGTGTACAAAGGTAATGAGCATGTTTAATCATGGAAACTGGCTGTCCCCCTCAGTGGACACTGTTCCAGTGAGAGCCGGCGGCCCACTGGCAAAGGGGCAGGGAGGGGATGATGCCTGCTAGCAGGTGTGTGATGACTCACAGTATGTAGCCTCCCCTCCCTGCTCCTCTGGGAGGTGCATTTGTGCAAATCATAGCTCTAAGCGTTGAGCTCAGAGCTGGCAATGTTCGGCGTTGTTTGTGAATCCTAAGGGATTCGTGGCTTTGGAGGAAGTCACTGGGCTTAGGTGGAACTCTTCTTTTTTGAATCAGAAGATGTTTTGCTTGGATTTAAAGAAGCTGAAGAATGCAATCATTGTAAATATTTCTAAAAAGATTTTTAAAGACTTATTGATTTATTTGGGAGAGGGAGAGAGAGTCTTTTAAGCAGACTCCATGCTGAGTGCAGAACCTGATGGAGGGCTCGATCTCAAGACACAGATCACGACCTGAGCTGAAACCGAGAGTTGGATGCTTAACTGACTGTGCCACCCAGGTGCCCCTCATCGTAAAATATCTTAGAATATTTGACATAGCATAGAATATGTGCTCCTGAGAGGTCTGAGATTTTAGGGATGTATAGGTGAAGACTCTTGAGCAGAGCAGAGTGGTTTGGCTCATAGAGTTACTTTTTGGAAGGCTTCATCATTCACATTGGCTGTGTTGTCTTCCACCAGACTAAAAGCTTGACTGCTCCCAAGCAGGGTAGTTGCGTCTTTTTCATCTTTGTATGTTTGATATGTAACATAGGGATTAGCACATGGTGGGTGCTCAGTAACGATACGTCAAACTGATGTAGACTGAACTGAAGGCTAGCTGTGGATTCGTGGTTTCCTAAGGTGCTGGGAGTGTTGAGAACTGCTTCCCCACCCATGTGCCATCTGGTGCTGCCTTGGTGGGACGGCCCAGTAGCTGGGGAGCTTAGTGGGCTTTCGCTAGAGAGTCAGTTTAGTTTAATGAGCTTCAGAGAAGGGTACGGGCTGAGGGACCTTTAAAATTTAAAGTAGCTCTGGCTCTTCCGGAAGCAGCACTGTTCCCTGAGGAGGTAGTACACTGGAGAGACATCCAGGGACTAGGTTGTCCCCTCCCAAATTTTCCATAACTTCTGAAATGCTCCCCTTGGCTCCACACAGAAGTCCCTTGCCATACTTGTGATAACATATGGATTGCTTAGGCCAAGGGATAGTTCACTTTCTACAGTTTCCTCTTTCTCATAAGGGGAAGCGTGGCCAGGACCTGTTCTTTGAGTGTGTCCAAGGATAATGGCAGTGTTTTCTTGGGAGGCACATGGGTAAGAATGGGTGATGGTATTTCAAGCCAATTGCAGAGGATGCATGTTTCATTATAAAAACAGGAAGCAAAATATTTCATTTCAGTGTTTCTATCTTCAGAAAATATAAACTGAGTAACAGATAATTGCCTGTCTTATAAATTGTCAGTTTCAAAATCAACTTTTGAACTCTGTTTTTCAGTTAAAAACTAAGAAGTTTCTGATTAATGTTGGTTATCTCCCCAAACTTTGCTTTCTGACATCAGCTTAGCTGTGCCTAACACAATACCACTCTAACTGACAGGGAGATTGCTAGAATAACAACTCTGCAAGTTTATGTAACTTAGCTTTTTGCTTTTAAACCTTGCAGGTACAACGGTGCCAGCCCACAGGGCCATCCTGGTGGCCCGTTGTGAAGTGATGGCAGCCATGTTTAATGGGAATTACATGGAAGCAAAGAGTGTTCTGATTCCAGTTTATGGTGTTTCCAAAGAGACTTTCTTGTCATTCTTAGAATACCTATACACAGACTCCTGTTGCCCAGGTGAGCAGTCTGAATATTAGATACTATCTTACAACTTTTATTTCCTTGTCACTCATTTTGATAAAGTGCTTTCTGTGAAATTTGTTTTTCCTTAAGATTGATCAGAGTTGATATCATGGAATGTACTAGTCAGGTGAGGTGGTATTGGGACAACCATGAATTTTCAGTCAGTTCTCACATCCCAGGCAGCCCCAACAGTGTGGTGATTATGTGGACACCTAGAAACGGAGGTGTTTTGTGGTACCCAGTGACTAATTCTACAGATTGGAACATACCTTCTATAAAGAGAAGAGGTTAGGGCAGCTGCTTTTATGGCTCTAACTTGTGATTGAGGCACTTTTAAGGACTTTGAATATTCTGAGACCCCTTGGTCATCTCTGTGGCTCAGAGAATGTGAGGGTTTTTTTTAAAGCCTTCTTCTGAATACCCCTAAAGTCATACTCTCCTTAAACTAACTTCTCCAAAAACCTTTCCTGAGATGTTTAGGATACCCAGCAGACTGGAGGATTTATATCCCTATTTACTGACTTAGGACTGTCTTTGACTAAAAACTAATCATCTTTGGCAGCTATAGGTTGGAACAGACCTTGCAGGGTTTTTTTCTAGCTGGGGGTCTCCTTGGAGGAATTGCAAAATCCTTTCTACAGTCCTAGAGCTTTGGGATGCCGGCACGGAAGCCCCCTTAAGTCATCTTCTTCCTCTGGCCACTAGATGGCTCCCACCACAAACACAACTACCACAAACACAACTAGAATAAATCCCTGGCGGTTTACTTACTTAGTCGAGGAGGCCGAGACCTTGATTACAGGACCTGGCCAAGTATTCTAGCAAATATAAAAAGAAAACACACATTTCAGACCATCGCTCTCTTCATATTTATTGCTTTCACTTTTAGATTAAGAACTTTTTCAACCTTTGTTATTAAAATTTCTTCAAGTTTTAAACAAGTCATGAGCCCTCTAGTGAAAGGTTTTAGAAGTTCAAAAAAAGAAAATTCCTGGGCGCCTGGGTGGCTCAGTTGGTTAAGCGACTGCCTTCGGCTCAGGTCATGATCCTGGAGTCATGGGATCGAGTCCCGCATCGGGCTCCCTGCTCGGCAGGGAGTCTGCTTCTCCCTCTGACCCTCCTCCCTCTCCTGCTCTCTGTCTCTCATTCTCTCTCTCTCAAAAAATAAATAAATAAAATCTTAAAAAAAAAAAAAAAAAGAAAGAAAATTCCTTTTTTAACTGAATTAATTCTGGTCTTGCAGCCAGCTGTGGAGTATTTTGAGGCCAGTTACAGCTGCTACTGTCAGTGTTAAAGATGGGCTTATTATATTTCCTTAATAAAAAGGAAAGCATAGATTCTCATCAGAATGTGTGTAATTGTTTATTTTATTATTTTAATATTGGCGAATTTGTATGTTAAATAAGAATTTTGACCCAGATTTGAATAATAAGAAAATTTAGTTTCTCAGTCATCCTCCCACTAATAAATTGAAGCTTCAAATTTTAGGTCTTCTCTTGCTAGTTAGAAAAAATGCTCAGAGAAGCACTAATAACTATAGGACAAAGCACTTTAAAACTTGGTAAAAGGTGTGGGGAGAAAATGAATCAAAATTAATAATCAGAAAGTAGATCAGTACTAGAATGTTTGTATTGGGAAATCGCAGAAAGAAAGATGATCTATTCATTGTGTTAAGTATGGATCATACACAGTGTTCTTGGTTCCTAGCTACAAAACAGTGCAAGAAATTTAAGGCGAACTTAGAGAATAACCTGAAAAATCACATCTAGGGAAGTTTAAAAAAAAACACAGACACACACACACACACAAACAACCTGAGTGATTGCCAGGGGTTAAGGGAAGGTGTAAATGGGGAGTTATTGCTTAATGGGTATAGAGTTTCAGTTTGGGAAGAAGAAAAAAGTTCTGGAAATGGATGATGGTGATGGTTGCACCACAATGTGAATGTACCTTAATGCCACCGAACCGTACACTTTAAAGTAGTTAGTGATAAATTTTATGTTATGCTTGTTTTGCCACAATAAAAACAACAAACAAACCTGGGGACTAAAGAGAAGAAAAATTACAAGGATTTAGTTTAGCTAGCCTAAAGAATTACATAACAGCCTTAGAACTGATTATTTAAGGGCAATTGTAGAATTGCCTTCTCTGAAGAACTAAAAAAAAACAACAATGAAAATATTCACTTTAGAGTGTGACGGCTTAAATTAATTCTTTTTAAAATGGCATAATAGGGGTGCCTATTTATAGGGGCTCCGTCGGTGGAGCGTGCAACTCTTGATCACAGGGTGGTGAGTTCGTGCCGCGTGTTGGGTGTAGAAATTTCTTAAAAATAAAACCTTTAAAAATAAGTAAATAAAATGGCATACTAGTGTAGAGTGCAGACTCACTCCTTCTAGGCTTTTTCTCTGCATTCTGTTGTACACTGGGTGATATAGTCAGCCTTGTTTTATTGTTGTTGGTTTGCTTTTTGTTGTTGTTTTGTTTTAGATCATAAAAGAAACGGCTTTATTGTCCATTTTCTCTTATTTCCCTTCCTGCCTCAGCGGGCATTTTCCAGGCTATGTGTCTTCTGATCTGTGCTGAGATGTATCAGGTGTCCAGACTGCAGCACATCTGTGAGCTGTTCATCATCACGCAGCTGCAGAGCATGCCGAGCAGGGAGTTGGCATCTATGAACCTGGATATAGTTGACCTGCTCAAAAAAGCCAAGGTACTTGCCCCTGTGTATCTGGTTGTTTGGTTAAAAAAAAGAAATTCTTCTAAAAATTATACTACTTTTAAAAAATTTCTATTTGTTGAGAGATACATTAGTGTTTGTCTCAGTTTGGAAGTTTGGCCAAATGAGGGTAAAGTGCCCTCACTGCAATTTCTGTGGCTAGATCATTTTGAAGCATCAGATTTTTGAGCAGTTTTTTTCCAAGGAGGTAGAATTTGCGGATAGGAAAGTTTTCACCTGAATGGTGGCCTTTGTTGGAGTCATCTGAGTATGGTGCTTTATTATGCCGTGTCGGCATTCTAGGAAATAGAACTTAGGTTGAATTTCCCCAAAGCAGTCACATCTTAGGGTTCAAGAAGAATTGGTCCATGCATGCTAACAGAGATGGTTAGGCTAAACTCATTTATTTGTTCATTCATTCATCCTTTCACATCATGGACATGTTTTGAAGTTTCCCGGTTGTTTGTGGGAGGTATTGGTACTTCATTAATCCTTTCAAAGTGCCTTTGTTGATACGTCTCATGTATATCCAGTATAAACATTTGAGTTGAGAATTACTACAGTACACCATACTTTCTGGCTTCTTAAGCTTAGGGCCTTTTTGTTTTTTTAAGAATTGCATTGCTACACATTGTAGGGAACAGAGTTTACACGGTTAAGCTAATTATGAATAACTGCAGTCACAGAGACCCTAGAATCTGAATCTCACAAAGGACCGGGCCGATCTATAAACTAGGTTTGCCGTCTTGAAGCCTGCTGGAACCTGCTTGCTGATGTTGTCCCAGTTAAAAATCTGTTATTTCCTCATTCCCCCTAAGAGGAACAGGAAGTTTATCCAGACATATCATCTTACCCTTGGTTATTCTACTGTTCCATCCTCTGCCCTATGACAGTTTTAAGGCTTGTGGCAGTCATGGAATATAATGGTCTATATTGAACTTGCCGTAAGCTGAAACTTCTAGGTCTTTTTTACAGGAATATATCTGATCCATCATTGGTAACCATCGGGACACTGTAAAATGTTATCTGGCATACAACATTTGGCTATCCCTATCACCTTTGACATCCAAAATTAGAAAAAGAGGACAACTTTGTCTTCAAGTTGCTAAAATGGAGCCACATAATGGGGCAAAGGAAAGACCGCTAAAAGCTTGCCTCCACGTTGAGATGAATTCATAAAGCAATAATGTATATTTCTGGGCATAAGATTCAAGAATTCATTTGAAGCATCTAGGTCTTCTCTTACTGTCTCCTTAACTATTTTGGAGTTCATTTCTTTCATAATCAAGTGTTAAGACCATATATATTAAGTTTTAAGGATAAAATTTAATTTAGAAAACTGAGTAACCTTCTGCACAGTGTTGGAGCTCAGAGCTGAAGCCGTTCTCACAAATGTAGGCAGCATGCACACGAGGGCTAAGTCCTTTGCTAACACCACAAGGGTCTCTGGCCCAATGAGAGCAGTGTGATAGTAATTCTTGCTACAGGTCAAACCAAACCAAACCACCCCCCCCCCCCCCGCCCCCCGCCAAAACCTGAGTAACCTCGATCTCTCTAATGTATTTACATTGAGCTTGGGATAAATAGCTAACCTCTAGATTTAGTTTAAAATTTCTTTTTCATTCATTCTGGTATTTTTCACAACCTCTCTTCATTTTTTTTTTTTAAAGATTTTATTTATTTATTTGAGAGAGAGAATGAGATAGAGCGAGCATGAGAGGGGGGAGGGTCAGAGGGAGAAGCAGACCCCCCGCCGAGCAGGGAGCCCGATGCGGGACTCTATCCCGGGACTCCAGGATCATGACCTGAGCCGAAGGCAGTCGCTTAACCAACTGAGCCACCCAGGTGCCCCTCTCTTCATTTTTGATGTATCATTTTCATACTCTTCTACCAAGTCTGTCATACTTTAAAAAAATGGTCACAATGGGGCGCCTGGGTGGCTCAGTCATTAAGCGTCTGCCTCCAGCTCAGGTCATGATCCCAGAGTCCTGGGATCGAGCCCCACATCAGGCTCCCTGCTCGGCGGGAAGCCTGCTTCTCTCTCTCTCTCCCACTTGCCCTGCTTGTGTTCCCTCTCTCGCTGTCTCTCTGTCAAATAAATAAAATCTTTAATAAAAAAAAAAAGGTCACAAGCTTTTCTTTCCTTATCTTGTTGTATCCTTTTAGTTCCTGCATCCCAGAATCTCCTGTCCGGTTGCAATGATGTTTTAGGTCGCACGCATGGACGTGTGCACACGTGCATGTCTTTCATGGTTGCGTCGTCAGCGGTTCTTCCTGACCTGTTTTCCCTGACTCTGTGCTTTCTGATTATGTAATTATCCTTATTTATTTCTCTTTAACTTTAAAAATTTAAGACACCAGCCCTTTTTGAATTTTACTTTTTGTTTCTGAAGACTTTTCTATTTTCTAGGATTAAGTCTCCATTTACCAGTTTTCCCTTATTCTATTCCTGGTGGTCCCTAATTTGGCAATTACAAATCCAAGATAACAGGATCATTTTCTTCACCAGTTCTCTTGGAAGTTTCTAGTTTGAGGCTTTAGTTCACCAGCCAGTTCATACTGTTGGTCAGAATTTAGTTAACCTTTCCTTCATTGTTTCTCTGACTTCTGGGAGGTGAAATTGTTTTTTAGCAGAATTAAACTTTGAGTAGCTTTTTGAATGATCAGAATTTCCAAACGCTCTGTTGTCATCTCTGGTAGCTTTGCATTGTTTATCAGGAAAGCATCCTTCATACCTTTGATATAGTTGAGCAGTTTGGTATTCTCTCACTTCTGCTTCCTCCTTCCCCTAACGTTTCTCCCTCAAGTTCATCTGTTTCCATCAAGTTGGACTTTTATCTTGCAAGAGAAGCTTTTTTCCCTCAATCAGATTAAGTTCTTTGAACTCTGGTAGACATCTTATCTCTGCTCCCTTTTATACGCTAACTAGCCGAACTTTGGTGATTCCTCTGAAGTCCTGTTAACCATATTTAAGGTTTCAAACTCAATATCTTACTTATAAAAACTCAATATCTTACTTATAATCTGTGCATTAATATTTGTTTGGCTGCTTCAGGCCACCAGTTTTGTTTCTGATCATCTCCTTGTGAGTTTCTAGGTGTTTTCTCCACCATTATTATTCTTCACAGAGCTATTAAATGCTGTAACATTTTGTTTGTGATATTTTTAAAGCCTTTCTTTTTTATTCTGTTGTTTATTTCAGCTTCAACCTGCTTTGTCTCGGGTGCCTGGGTGGCACAGTCAGATAAGCATCCAATTCTTGGTTTCTGCTCAGGTTGTAATCTCGGGGTTGTGGGATTGAGCCCCCAGTCGCATCAGGCTCCATGCTCAGCGGGGAGTCTGCTTAAGGTTCTCTCCCTCTCCGTCTGCCCCTCCTACTCATGTGTGCACATGCGCATGCTCTCTCTTTCTGAAATAAATAACTTAATCATAAAACAAACAAACAAATAAATAAACCTGCTTTCTCAGGTTAGCACATATTCTTCCAAAAAAGTAGTTCTTACAGTGAACTGCTCTTTATCTTCGCTAAGAGCCTACAGTTATGATATCTTAAATCTTGGTCAAAAATAAAATTCTGCATTTTACCACGTTTTTGTAGCCAGCTATTCATTTCTTTGATCTTCCTTCTCCAAAAAGTCACAGCCCTTAGGCGATGTTTTCAACTTTTGTTTGTAGGTTATCTGCTTTGGGTTAGTCATCTGATAGTGCTGGTGGCTTCCGTTAAAATAGCTACACATTCTTGTTCTGTCTCTTTGAGATCGCTCACATCTATATGCTGAAAGTTAAGGTGAATAAAAATTGGTAAAATGTGATGTGGGATTTGATGAACCATAAAGTGTCTTACAATTCAAAAATTCTGATTTTGTATGATGAAAATCAAAGAACCTGTGGATTTACATGTGAAAATATTCCCACATTATAACTTTTTAAAAGAGCAATGCTTGAGTTTCTTCCTTAAGATGTGGGATTATAAATCTTTCTTTGATTTAGCATTACTTATTGCTTATATAATATTTTTGAGTTTCCTTAAAAGAGCTATATTTAGCTTAAAGGTGAACAGCCTAAATATCCATCAACAGATGAATAAATAAAATATGGTATATACATGCAGTGGAATATTACTCAGTCCTAAAAAGGAATGGCATTGTAATATATGCTGCAACATGGGTGATACTTGAGGACATTATACTAAGTACAATAAACCAGACAGAGAAAGCATACCTATTGTATATGTCAGTGTCTGTGAGGTACCTGGAATAGTCAAATTCATAGAGAGAAACATAGAATAGTGGTTACCAGGGACTAGGGGTAGGGGCAAAAGGGGAGTTATTGTTTAATGAGTATAGAGTTTCAGTTTGGGATGATAAAAACATTCTGGAAATAGTGGGGATGGTTGCATAATAATGTGAATGTACTTAATGCCATTGGTACTCTTAAAGAAGGTTAAAATGGTAAATTTTATGTTATGTGTATTTTGACCACAATAATAACAAAAAGAACTATACTCATGTATCAAAGTGGCCTGCCAGCACATTACTGTAGTCTGAATTGAGTGGTTAGATGGATCGGTGAGCATCACTGGACTGGCACCAAGGTGAGGATGTCACAGCCGTGGTGCTCTGAGTTTCCCTTCCATTAGCTTTTGAAATTCAAAATGAGAAACGTACTGGAAATTATAGTGAGTAGGATTACTACATCCTAGTTAAAAGCATCCTTTTAACTACATCCTAGTTAAAAGCAACTGTTAAGACATAACCTTCTCATAGAAATACGTACACATTGAAACCCATCCCCTTAGATTGATGACATTTCCTCCACAAAATATTTTTCGGTTTGCTCCTCAGGTGAACTTGTTTAGATATGGCCACGTGTGTACCTCCGCTAACCATAATCTTATCTCTGCTACACAGATGTAAGTGCAATTAGTAAAGGCCGTGACCTTAGATTAAAAGCTTAAAGGAAATCCTTAAGAACCTCCAAGAGTCTCTGTTACC